GTAGAGGATACAACTCTGGTCCAGAAAAATGTAAACTGCTAGTACTGAGCCAGAGAGGGGTGCTGGGCATGGTGACTGGAAGCCATGGGAGCGACCACTAGGCCTGAATACACAGAGAACTCAAAACCTTAAGGGAGAAACCACTGGGGTTAAACTGGAGAATCTGCTATGTTGATATCCTGAAGACAGATCTTTTGAGACAGATCTCTCTATGTAGTCCTGGCTGGCTTAGAACTAGCCGCATAGACTAGGCTGGCCTTGACCTACTGGGAGTAAAGGCATACACCACCATGCTCAGCTCTAAAGAAAAGCCTTTGATATAGATCTTTAAATCAGACGCTCAAACCCAAAGCCTATCTATTCTAGAAACTAGAATCTAGAAATTTGAATCCAACATAAATCATTAAGTATTCAGAATTGACAAGGAACAAACAGATATGATAAAAACAGCAAAATCCTATCAAAATACAAGACAAATGCAAATAAATTTATATTAATAATACATCATTTTAAATATAATTATAGTTTTCAAAGTTTTCAAACCATCTGCCTTTCTTTTCATTAAATAAAGTGCACATTGTTTGGCAATTGGAAGGTTGGCTGCTGGCTTAGCAAAGACAGAAAAAGAATAGTAAGAACAACTTGTTGCACCTGATCCCAGAACTCAGTTATAAAATCAGGGCTCAGAAGCTCCTAGGATAAATTGGAATGTTATAGAGAAAGATTCAGCTGAAAAAAGATTAATACTTAACAAGTATATCCATTTCCACTTATATTTTGTACAGATAGTGCATGTGTGTCACTGCATGCATGTGGAGGTCAAAGGAAAACCTACAGGAGTTGGCTCTTTCTCTCCCTTCCACCACGTGGGTGCCAAGAATTGAACTCAGAATCTTAGGCTTAGCAGCAAACACCTCACCCACTGAGCCATCCTGCTAACTGATGATCATCCCCCTCCAACACCCCTTTTAAATTCCGATTTTGTGCTCCTGCTAGTTTGTCAGGGCAGCCACACCCACACTCCAATTTTAATTATCCTTAGTGCTCAGGATTCCCAACTGACATTTCCTGTCTCTCAAGTCTACTCTTATGTCTCCTATTATCCCTTATTTGTCCCTTGAAAAGGTATTGTCTGGTCACCGCTGCTGGCAGGCATAAAGAGTGTGACCGCTGGCTCTCCTCCTCTTTAAAGCTTTAATATGCAGTTACTAAGTTCCATTTAAAACGTCTTACTGGAGTCCCACTGAAGCCATTTCAGGAAAGCTCATGACCCCTGTTAAATTCACCATCAACTCAACCCACCCGTATCCTTTTCTGCCATTTTTAACATCAGTCTTGCATGGCCAGAGCTGTGCTCAGGAGGCCCCAAGGCAGCCCACATCCCCAGAGCTCTGCCTAAGCTCTTAAACCCTTCCCTCTCCTGACAGGCATCCTCAAGGCTTGGCTGGGAAGCTGGAGTCTTGCCACAGGCAAGATAGGTACTGGATGGAGAATCCAGAACTGTGGCAAATAAAACCTCAATCTTCAGGTGGTGGCAGTTAGGCAGAAGACACTGGAAAATTAGATAGGTGATCAAATGGCAGCCTGCAAACGTTATTCACAAAAGCAACCAACCCTGACAAGGCAAACAGGTTTGTAAAAGTTGCAAGTTGAATGTAGCTATTTCCTAATACAGTTTGTAACTAAGTTTGTAAAAGTCTGCAAACTGAATGTAAGTATTTCCTAATACAGGATGGAATGCCTTGCTTTTCTGTATTTGTTTGGGATGGGACGATGGTAAGTAGCCCAGGCTGGCCTAGAACTCAGGAGTCTCATGCCTCACCCTCCCAAGTGCTGGGATTACAGGCGGGGACCAACACTTCCTACTGAAATTTAAACTAAAAACAGTTAAAATGAAAACACTAAAAACAACAACCACCCCCTCCCTGTAAAAGCACCAGTATCCAACACAAGGCTTCAGTGTTGGGGCTGGGGTGGAGAGGTTTACTGATCAGCTGTAGCCACACTGATAATCACCTGCAGGGGGCGTCTCACCAAGGAGACCAGTACTGGCCAACTGGGCAGGACTTCCCTCAGAGACGGCTAGCATGGAGCATTCTGTTTGATCTCGGGTGCTGCCCAGGCATTTTTACCTTTATGATGTAACATGGAAAAGTTACAAGTGGAAGAGAGAAGATCTGGAAAGGCCCTTGCCAACTGGAGGGCAACAGGCTACCCAGAGGACTTTCTGTCTAGGCCAACTTACCTCTACTTTTTCTACTACTTGTTTCCCAAAGGAGCAGACTTTGGTGGAACAGGTAACCGTCATGTTTTCAGAACTCTCATACTGACTGCTCACACCGTAGAAGGCCCCGGCGTCATCTTGGATATTGCAGTTTAAGTCCGCCTGTAGGGAGGAAGTAGGGGCAGGTTATCCTCTCATCCTAGGATCACAGTGGCAAAGAACCACTTTGGTAAGGCATCGATCAAGCAGCTAAGCAGTGGGGAAAAGACATCTGTCTCTCTACATACACCAGCTTGATGGTAAGCCACTACGTTCCCAGGCAAGGCTGAACTTGCTATATGGCCAAGAATGACCTTGAACTCTAGTTTCCACCTCCCAAGTGCTTACAGGAATGTGCTACCATATCCAGTTCCCCGGGGTCAGGGGTTGAACCCAGCCAGGGCTTTGTCCATGCCAGGCAAACACCCTACCAACTGAGCCCTGCAGTGGTTGGTAGACATCTGGGAAGTCTTCCCTTGAGAGGACATGCTACCAGGATGCATTCAGCCTGTCTTCGTTGCATTCAGTTTTGGAGTAGGACTGTACCCTTATAATGAAAATCCTAAAGTTTCTAAAATGTACAGAAAGTGGGGCATGAAATGACTGTGTACTCTGCCAATCTTGTGAGAGACTTAACAAAAACAAACCAAAACACAGGTCCCTGCAGCTAAGGCATCACTGCTATACAAAGATGATTAACACATCCAGAGCAGAAAGGCTTCCCACTAAGTCCACCCTACAAAGATGCTAAATCTCAGCTACTCACGTAACACATTCTTGTGAATGGCCTACGACGTAAGGCTCATGCTGGACATGATGGCACCTGGCTACAAGCTAATGTGGGAGACAAGCACAGCGGAAAGGCTATGCAGTCAAATAGTGTCACACCAAGAGATGACAGATCTTAGCTGCAGAGTGAAGAGGCCTGGAGGGCTTCCTCCTAACTCATGTGCTCATGCATGGACAGGAGATGAGGAGGAACACAGACGTGACTCAGGCTGGGGAGGGCTAAATAAACAAAAGGGGTAGGTTGCACCTTGGAGCAAATGGGAGACCCTAGAAAATTCTGGTGCCAGGAGTCAAGATTAAAGCAGGGCTTTAGAGCGCAATGTCTGCAGGGCATGGTGGCACCGCGGAAGGCCATGGCCATGGGTATATGCTACTGCTATGGTCTGACTGTGGTGGACATACAACTCCCACAGCAAGTGTTAGGATGGGAAGCTTTGAGGATGGGATTAGGATTCTGTCCTTGTAAATGAATGGACAATCACAGAAAAGGACCACACCCTCCATAACAAGAGACCTTGCCAGATACTGGTATCTGAACCCTGGACCATTCTATTGATAAATCTGGTTCTGTCTATCCAGAGTTCCCAGCACACTGTATAAGAACAGCACCGGAGGAACAGGTTGCAACCAGTTGTTGCTCTGTAACAACAATAAATACAAGCTTGGGCAGGAAAGGAGGTGTCCAAGTTATTTTCTTTAGTTTCAGCTTCAGAAAACCCTACCTTTAAAGAGCAATAACTGTAAGCAGAACATGCCTATAATCCCATACCGAGGAGACAGAGGCAGGAGGATCACCATAAATTCAAGGCCAGCCTGCACCACATATTAAGCTTTGAGCTAACCAAGGGTACACAGTGAGATCAAGTCGAGGTGGGGGAGAAAAAGAAGACAACAATAAAGGGGGTGTGCTCAAAGGGACTATAAAATAATGATGCGACTTAATATTCTAAATCGAAAAACCTAGCCTGTTTGGGTAATTCTGGAAGACACAGTGATGGAAACAAGCAGGTGTTTTGGAATAAGGACTGGAGGAAACTTGGGAGATGAAGATTGGCTGGGAGGATGGAGGGCTGATGGGACAGTAAGTACTTAAAATACCTGTGATAACTTGTCAGTGTACATCATATTCTGAAAACAACAGTAACGGTTTGACACCAGCAGAGCTGACGACAGTGTGCAGTGTTCACACGTCCACCCCTGTGAGCTGAAGGGGAAACTGCTGCCCCTGGTGGCTGCAAATCTAGATCCCACAACAAGAGTGAGCTGGCTGTTCTATTTCTTTACTCCCAGTGTCAACTGGGTGCTCTATTTCAGCTCTATTTAAAATGTCAAACTCTAAATAGAGAGGGAGAGGACAGTGGCTGAGTCTCCCCTTCATCCTCACCGTCACTAAGCAGCTGCCATTCATTTACAGGTTTGTTGAGGGAGACCAATGGATGAGGCTGTACCTGCTCTACCAAGCTGGAGCTGTAGTGCAGCAGGCTCAGACAGTTCCAGGCTGTTACAAACGTAACTCCAGGAAAGAACCTGTAATGCATTTGTACATTTTGCTAATAACATGGGTTATGTATGCTAGTTTAAAGCATATACATGCTGTATATATAACACAAGCCTCCAATTTACCATTTCCTTTATTAGGAATAAGGCAAACAATCTGGGGGAGGGTATCAGTAGGATAACTTAGAATGCTGTGCACATGATAATAAAACAAATGGTTTTCTGCCGTTGTCAATTCCCCACAGACAAGCAGCCCTTTAGCTCAAGCCTATACAGATCACGCTCATTTGTATATGACCTGCGTCACTGCTGTGTCTTAGGACTATGCAGATAACGCTGATGAGCTTTCATTGGATGTGGATCATCTACCATATACTGATCCTTGAAAATGAAGTTACTGGTCAGGTGTGGTCACACAGCCATGCAATCCCAGCATTACAGAGGAAGACTGCAGCAAGTCTGAGGCCAGCTTGGTCTACAGTCAATTCAAGGCCAGCCAGAGATACGTAAGGGATCTAGTATCCCCCAGGGGAAAGAAAAGAAGTTACTAAAGGTCTGGAAGAGCTGGGTGGTGGTGGTATACTCCTTTAATCCCAGCATTCTGGGAAGCAGAGGCACGTGGATCTCTGGGTGTTTGAGTGGTCTACAGAAAGAATTTCAGGACAGCTGGGGCTATACAGAGAAAACCTGTCTGGAAAAAACAAAAAGGGTCTGGAGAGACGGCTCAGCAGTTAAAGATTAAAAGCGCCATCTGCCTTTTCCAGAGGTCCTGGGCTTGATTCTTAGCACTCATGTGGTGGCTCACAACCGTCTGCAGTTCCAGTTCCAAAGGATCTGATGCCCTCTTCTTGTCTCCGTGAGTGCCAGGCACTCATGTGGTACATGGATAAATTCCACAAGAGTGGACACAGGCAAAAGACCCAGACACAACCAATCAATAAATAAAAATTGAAAAAAGAAGGAAAGAAAACTTGAAGGTGTTGGGACTTAAGTTCCTTTGGCAGAGTTCTCACCTAGCACGCACAGGTCAGGATGCTGATTCAATCCCCAGCACCTCAGAAACTGAGCACTCATGAGGTGGAGACAGAAGAATCAAAAGTTCAAGGTCATTCTCTGTTACATGGTGCATTTGAGGCCAGTCTGAGATGTATGTGATATTGTCTCAAACAAAACCAAACAAATGTCAAGAAGTGGTTCACACAATGTTTACCACGCTACTTCAACAACATACCCAGAACCTCAAATTGGATTTGTAATTTCGGAGTTTAGGTTTTAAAAGGTTTCCTCAGCGAGTGGCAAATCACCTATTTGCAGGCAACATCAGAACTACTTTACAAAAACTATCTTTGCACGTGAAAAATAATTCTGCAGTCACCAACTATATCACAGATGCTCTTTAGAATGTTCTAGAAGGGTCTGACAGCATTAGAAAGAAACATAGTCAGCTAACTCCCCTAGAGCAAGGCAACATAAGAAAGAATGGAAGCAACAAAGGAAACAGCTGCAATGAGTCTGAGGCTCACAGAAACTCAGTACTTGATTGACTTCCCCACAGCCAAAGACTAAAAAAACTCAACTCATGGAATTTTGAAGGCAAGAAAATGAGGGAGAAAACTATGCTGCCAGTTGCCAGTTTTCACCTAGCCATAGGCTATTTTCTAAAAGCAAATAAACACAAAAACACAAGAAACAGCAAAAGAAAACCCACTCCTCTTGCTGCATACCAGACTTAAAATGCATCCCGTTCCCTGCTTAGATGAAAAGGTTGACTGTGGAGTGGGCTCTGAGGGAGGAGAGATAAGCAGCCCAAGGAGGAAGCCCTTCTGAGAGACCTACTCATTTACCTTAAGGACGGATGAACTTCAGAGTTCAACTCTTTCTTCTCCATGCAGAAATCCCTTTCCCACCCCCCTGGCCCAAAATACCAATGTCTAAGTGTTTATACAGACTTCTTCAGTACCACTGCTGGATGCAGTCAAAGGTCTAATTAGCTCCTTCTGTCCAATGCACTTACTGATGCAGCAACAAACTGTTGTCTTCAGTCAGGGTCTCTATTGTGCAACAAAACACCATGACCAACAAGCAAGTTGAGGAGGAAAGGGCTTATTCAGCTTACACTTCCACATTGCTGTTTATCACCAAAGGAAGTCAGGACAGGAACTTAAACATGGCAGGAACCTAGAGGCAGGAGCGGATACAGATGCCACAGAAGGCTGCTGCTTACTGGCTTGCTTCTCTTGGCCTGATTTCTTCTAGAACCCAGGACCACCAGTCCAGGAATGTCATCATCCACAATGGCCCTTTCCTACTGATCACTAATTGAGAAAACGCTTTACAGCTAGATCTCATGGAGGCATTTCTTCAACTGAGGCTCCTTCATCACTGATGACTCTAGCTTACGTCAAGTTGACACAAAACCAGCCAGCACAAACTGTCACAGATTTAGAGGCTTAAAACAACACTAATTGATCTTGGACTCCAGGCAGGGAGAAATTCGACTGGGTCTCACCAGGCTAAAACCAAGGTATGGATTAGACAGGCTGTCTTGTTGGGAAACTTTGTGGGAAATCTGATTCTGAGTCTCTTTTCATTCCAGGGTCACTCAAATCTCTCCTCTGTAGCTCTTGGTTCCATTCCTTCTGTTCCTTCTACATCACTCTTCCCCCAGGATTATACTGGACTCAGGTAGAAAATGCAAGCTATCCTCCCATCTGAACTTTAGCCCCACAATGTCCTTCCTGCACCTCACAGGTAGTATGACATAGTCACAGACCCCTTAGATACAGGCATGGCACTCGTTGGGACATCACGACTCTGCCTTGCACAGTTGCTGACAA